AGATTTTTGTCTTCTTCGGTCACCACCTTCCTCTCTCGCTTAGTCATTATTACTGCTAACATACTACTATTGAAGATGTTTACATATTTCTTTGTCAGAAACCACTCAAGGATCCAATAGAAATGTTTGATTCAATATTTACAGATCAATATATCTATATTATATATATATATATATATATATATATTATTATATATATATATATATATATAATATATATATAATATATATATATTATAATATGCTTAGGGCTCGAGGATACCGATTTAGGTTTCAGGTATTGGATTTATATCATGTTGATTACTTCATGTAAATTATTAATCTTTAAGTTATTTTCTTATGCTTGATTAAGTCTAATTAGTTTATGGTTTATCTCGCTATAGCAAGGGAAGAGATGCACAAAGTAATTTTTTGCAAGCTTTCTGTCAGTTTTTAGTGGTTTTTTAAATATTTACAAGTAAGAAAGAAGAATGTTGATTTGTCTAGTTTTCGATCTACCAACTAATAGCAGTTGTTTTGTTATTACTTTTTATGATGATTTTCTTGACATGAAGAACCCATTCAAAGTTCTTAAAATAAGAGAGGACAATGTGGTTTTGGTCTTTAAGTTAATGACTTTTTAAGTTGTAATAAAATCACCAAGGATCGTGATAAGTTGTTTATATTCAATCATTTACTATAATTGATTACTAATTCTGACTTTTTACTATAAAAACATATTTATTTTTGTAACCATGGGTCCCACGGACTATAACCATATATATATATATATATTATATATATATATATTATATTATTATAATATACTATATATATATATATATATATATACACTCCATAATCGATTAATTGGTATGTGTAATCTAGTTGGCTGCTTTCCTTAATCCTCGTTCACAAATATCTCACTAAAACATACTTAATTGAAGAAGATATGTGTACAATAACCTCTTCGACCCAAACCATCACCGTCATCCCCAATCAGGTCAACCCTCTATTTCAACCCCAATCTTCAATCTAAAATCGACGCCACCAATTATTTAGTTATATGTGTTCATCCTGAAACAGAAAAAACCCCTATCTTGTGCTAGATGTGTTCGTCATGTATGGGAATAAGTGTGGAGAAGATGATAAACATCTGTGGAGTTGGCTCTAAGATCTATTTCAGCCCCTAAAATCAATGTGTATTTTAATTTAGAAGAGAACGTCAAGACGTGGAGAGAATCGATCACATATATATGGGCTCCCTTTTTTGAAATCGATCTCAAGTAAGGGTTAAGATAAATCGAGACTTGCTCCATTCTGAATCAATTTGTCTTGTATCTGTGTATGTTCCTCAATCTCAAAACTAGATGATACCATAATCAATACATAGGAGAAAGAAGGAAAGATGTATAAATCACAAGAGAAAGATGAAAAGTTGCTCATGTTTTAGGGTTATAATTTACATGTCTGTCCTCATGTTTTAGAAGCAGCCACGCATAAGAAGAACCCAAGAAGCGGTCATGCTCGCTTTTGGATTTGCGTATGGGAAGGTTACAGAAGAATAACATTAATTTAAGGGGGTGGGGGGATGATGGCTTACGTGGCATCCTAGTAATCAACAACATGTCATGTTGGCTTCTGACAAGAATTGGGTAACCGACTATCATGTCCATTAATTGATAAATGGGATATATGACAAAACTTGTCTAAATATTAGACATTAATGAACAAAATCTCGTACTTAGGGTAAATCTGTATAATATTGGCAAACTTAAGGCCTTTCTTGGTCAAAGCCCTAGATAATATGTTAAGCTCGAAAAACTAAGACCATTGTTGATCCTGTAACCGCCCAAAAATTCAAATACAATTTTTCATTTTATAATCAGAAATTTCAACCACATTTGTTTTCCTAAAATCCCATTACATAAACACATTGTCCAAAAGATCAGAGTATCCAAACAAATAATGCGGAAATACAGGAGAGTGCATGTTGCGCCATCAAGCCGGTCCCTTGCCCTTAGAACTAGAAGTACCTGAAACACCCAACAAACTGTGAGCACACGCTTAGTGAGTTTTCCCAAAATACACAAAACACATAACCACATAATGTCATGCACATATACATATAAATTTGCCATGGACTCCCTCCATGGTCTTCAACTGGAATACCATGGGCTACCCCCATGGTCTTATATCCAAGGGCCATGGGTTCCCCCTCATGGTCTTATCGAGTGCCATGGGCTCCCCCATGGTCTTCACATAAATCAATACATACCAACTAACAAATCATTGCATATTATATTATTGAAATCTCATATCAAGTAATGGGCCGACATTGGTGCCTTCGACCCATTGGTATAGTGAAAAGACTCACCTCAATCTGCTGAACACAATAGTTGCTCAAAATCTCACACAGAACAATATACAAATAACCCTAGTTAAGATTATGGCATAACCTAAACATGGGCCCAAAATCCTAAGTCCAAGTCCCTTCATAATGGCCCAAAGGCCTTTCCTTCACTAATGGGCCTAACATCAAAATCCAATTCTATATTGGGTCACAAGGCCAAAAAAGGCCCAACATGCCAACATTGGCCCAAGTAATAAATTTAGGCCCACAAAACCAGCAAGTCCAGGCCCAAGCAATTAGGGCCCAAAGTCTCGAAAGTCCGCCGGAGGCCCAAAGCTCATGGAGAGTGTACGCTGAGCGTACCACTTCAGTACACATAGCGTGTTGGCCTTAAGGGTTGTACTCGAAACGTACAATACGGTATACCCAGCATACCAGCTCTCATGCACTCTACTCCATTAAGTGCTTAATGCATGCAGTCTCTTCACTCAAATTCCAGATCTAGGTCGATATAATGGTCCTAAGACATAAAGTTGGCAACTTTATGCCTTTGCATGCTATATAAGGTCCCAAAAACTTAATCTACTTCATTAAGACCTTACCAAAGGTCTTAATCCATGCATGGAGCGATAGAAGGCATCAAGTTTGCAATTTTATACTATAAACAAGTCCAAGAGTGAAGATCTAAACTTTCTAACCTCTGGAGTTGCCCAAACTCCAAAGAGATGATTTATGGACTCAAAAGTGAACTCTAGCAAACCCTAACTCAAGAAGCAAGGAGGATAGACAAGATGCAATCTTTTTACCTCCAAAATCTCTCCAAGATGCTCTAGATGTAGGATCCAAAGGCTCCTTCCTTGATCCAGACTTGAACACCACCTTATTCTTCTTGTACTCCCTCTAGAAAGGCCACCAAACACACCTTTAAGCTCAAATCTTATACTTTCATGCAAAAATAGGGTTTAAGGACGAAATAAGGCTATGGAGGCTGATTAGGGTTTGGTCCAAATGATATAAGGTTGTTTATATAGGGTGCAAGTCTTGAAATTAGCGTTTTTGGTCTCTGGCCTCGTACGCCCCGCATACGAGCCTTAGCCCCGTGATGCATGCTCAAGCGTACACATATATACGCCCAGCGTATGGAAGGACCATTTTTGACAAAATGAGATATTTTGAGGGCATAAATGGAATACGTGAATTTTGAGTGTTATAGATCCATTGATAAAGTATCATAATTTTGTAGATTTTAACGACAACTACAATTAGATCTTAGTAATTATTATTATTATTATTGACTCAAAAGTGAACTCTAGCAAACCCTAACTCAACAAGCAAGGAGGATAGACAAGATGCAAGCTTTTTACCTCTAAAATCTCTCTCCAAGATGCTCTAGATGTAGGATCCAAAGGCTCCTTCCTTCATCAAGACTTGAACACCACCTTGTTCTTCTTGTACTCCCTCTAGAAAGGCCACTAAACACACCTTTAAGCTCAAATCTCATACTTTCATGCAAAAATAGGGTTTAAGGACGAAATGAGGCTATGGAGGCAGATTAGGGTTTGGTCCAAATGATATAAGGTTGTTTATATAGGGTGCAAGTCATGAAATTAGCGTTTTTGCTCTCTGACCTCGTACGCCCCGCGTACGAGCCTCAGCCCCGCAATGCATGCTCAAGCATACGCATATATACGCCCAGCGTATGGAAGGACCATTTTTAACAAAATGAGATGTTTTGAGGGCATAAATGGAATACCTGAATTTTGAGTGTTATAGATCCATTGATAAAGTATCATAATTTTGTAGATTTTAACGACAACTACAATTAGATGTTAGTAATTATTATTATTATTATTATTATTATTATTAGTAGTAGTAGTAGTAGTAGTAGTAGTAGTAGTAGTATTGTTCTTGTTGTTGAAAAGTTGGTTAATGATTAGAAGTTAAATTCATCAAGTTAGTTAATTCGTCTATATCCGGGTTTGAACCTGAAACCTCCAATTTAAGAGGTTTCCACCTCTACGAAGCGGGTTAGTATCACATTGGCTTACTAATCATTATTCTAATACTAATGTTCGAGAGAGCATTCTCTATTAGGGTTTTTATAGGATTTTTATTTTGGAAAAAAACTATGAAAAAACTTCCTCTCTAGGAGGAAACTTTTTCACCAAAAGCTTTAAATCAAGTCTGTAAATTTGCAAAGCATTTGATTGGATCATTTTTAGTTATTATGATGATTCATATAAAATTACAACTAATTTTAATTGCCAACTTATATAAAATACAACTAAATAATATATATTGATGAGTGAGTTGATGAAAAAGCTATTAGGGTCTTGAACTTTAGTACACTTTTAATTAAATTGATGGAGATGATGTTTACGTGTTATAAGAAAATCTTAACAAATAACTATTATGAATTCTATATAACTTTCAGCTGAATAAGAAGTCTCAATCCTTGAATATTTTCTTCTCTTTCGGAGCATACAAATATTGTTTGCAGTACGAGAAACAATAGTGTGTGTTTCCATAAAAGGAATAACACAAACACTATGAATCATAAAATAACCCATACTAACTTTATCTCAATAATACATTCCTTAAACTAACACCAATATCACGTTTAGATCATTTAAAATCAAGAAAATAAAAAGTAACCAATACATTCAAAGGCGTATAAGGCACTGCTTATAAATATCATATTCTAAATATACCAATGCCATCAAAAACACAAATTTCGAGGTTTCAAAAATGCAAGACTTTAATCCGAATTTGGTGGTGTTAATAGTCATGATGATTGCAACCATGCAGTTTCAAGTCACGATGGCACAGAAAAGGCACGTCGTCGGCGACGGTTTGGGATGGACCGTTCCTTCTGGTGGAGCGGTGGCTTACACCACGTGGGCCTCGCTTCAGACCTTCAATGTGGGCGACCTTCTTGTCTTTACCTTCACTGATGGAGAACATGATGTTGCAGAGATTTCGGCGGCGGCTTTTGGCTCATGCACTGCCACAAATCCTATCTCCCTTGCCACCAATGGCCCCGCTACCCTCACCTTGACCACCCCCGGAGCTCATTACTACATCTGCACATTCAGAAGTCACTGTCAAATTGGTCAGAAGTTAGCCATTAACGTCTCTGACTCTTCCACCACTACTCCTCCAGCAGCAACACCCAGAACACCCCGATCTCCACCTCCTCCGTCAGCAATACTCAAAACACCACCGTCTCCGTCGACCACGAGCCCTAGTACTCCTCCGTCGGAAACACCCGCAACACCCTCTCCTCCCTGTCCTCCAAATGTATCAACAAGCTCATGCGACACATCATCGCCGCCAACCACCACCTGGGACGACACCGCTCCACCACCACCACCACCTAGTGATAGTGATGAGGCTTCATCTTTCACCGCCGTCGTACCTTCCACATTCTTGATAATTGGATTAGCTTTATTGAATTATTAAATTTGAAAAAAGAGACATTACACTTACATATTTTATGATGTTTACGAATGTTTTCCTTGCGTGAAATATTTTCATGACAACTTGAATGTGAAACGAAGTTAATTTTAGTAATTATTTTTATGTTAATGAATGTATTTGATAATGTTTGCATCTAAATATTATTATATATTAGGTGTAAGATATCCTATAGTACGAGTTAATTAAAAACAAAATAAGATATGAACTAGAAATGAGACCCGTGCAACTTTTGTTGTTGATGTTTGGCAGGTCACGAAAGTAGGATGCTATAATGTCATTCAAATACTAAGCAACTGTATAAGATTGAATAGAGTATAATATCAAATACATGGAAATATGAAAAGATGCAACAAATAGCAATGTACTTTGTTTGTTGGTAAAAAAATAAATTACAAAAAAAAAAAAGATGTAAATTCAAAGCGCATTGCTATTTAGTGCACTTAAAACGAAAAAATGAAAATTACACATAATGGCAATAAAACCATTACTGCTGAAATTGGAAGAACCTAAAGAACTGTAGCCTCCACATCCTTTGCCTCTCAAATTCCAGCTGCAAGTGTAAAAAATGTCTACATATATGTTTATATAAGCACAACTTGTGGCATTATAGATATACACAATCAATAACATCAGAAACTTAAAAAAGTGCATCATAATGCAAAAGAAAAACGAAAAAAAAAATAGAAATAATAGCCAAGCCATTTTGTTCTGTTGTTCTATTAAAATACAGAAAAAAAACCATTATATAAATTTAGCCACTTGAAATATTTCTTTTTTAGATTTTCATCATAATACTTCGGTGGATAAATCATCAAAAACTAATAGTTTAATGACTAAATCAAAAAAAAAAATGTTAGTGTAGTGGCTTAATTAGTAAATAAAATTTTTAGACGATAAAAAAACATAATGATAAAAAGATTTTTTTTTTTTTTGTAATTTCGATAACATCAAAAGAGGCCAATTTTCAAGAAAAGAGTTGCGTACTTGGAGGCGACTTGCTACATTTTCCCTAGTAATTCCATCCAAATATCATGAAATCAAGAATCCTTTTAGACAAAGCTTCTGCATTTTACAGAAGCAACAAACTTTGTATGAAAGATCAATTGACCAAAAAGCAGTAAATCATTATTTTTTTATCCAAAAAGAAAAAGAGTATGAAGGGACAATTTGGACAAAAACTATGGCACTGGCTGGAGTGGCTCCGTATGAAACCTTTGCTTTCGAAAGTAATGAAGCAATACATTGTTTCAGAAGATGTGTAGTTGAAAGTTATAAATGTATCCGAAACTCTATTTTATTCGGATTGTTGTGTTGTATAAAAACCATGGTCAGGGGTAAAATTGGTATTTGGTTATTAAAAAAAAAAAAAAAAACATACCGGTACAGCACGATAAGAATGAACAAAATATAGATGTCGGTTTGCAATATCATCTAAAATAAGTGAATCTTTTTTAATTTGCAAAGTATTCCAGCCAATATGAGGCACTCTACAACCATTCACAGAATCAAAAACGTCCAACCACCCCGGGAATCAAACCAAGACCTCTCACCGAGACACCAAACATTGAATCAGTTAACGAAAATAATTCAAACGAAGTACGAACCTGGTGAAGGAAGTCTGAAGAAGCAACAATGGAGAATTCGGGGCACCCGAGAAGCGAAGGGGGCCGACAATGGTGCGTTCATGGTCACCATTAAGCTCCAAACCGGAAATTTTACCCTATTCCTTCTACCGATTTAGGACTGAAGTAAATAACCCAAGGAATATGTAACCTCGCAGTGGTGTTCTTCAAAAGATGAAAGAGTAGAAGGTCCGATGGATTTTGACTTCGACAAAACAAATCGAATCATCATAAATGGGTATGAGAAACAGACCTGATGCGTGTGTCGATGCCCGCATCTTCACCGAACGGCCGTCACTATTCAGCTTTACGGAGGTGAACGTGTACTATTCCTGTTCACGATCAAACAACTTGTCGCCTCCGGTAAACCGGAAAGCTTCGCTGGGGAATTTCTAGTCCCGTCGTACAGAGGCTCTTCGTTTCTCGACCCAAAGGGCATACGTGGATGAGAAAGCAGGTGGGGGAAAAGTAAGCAGAACCGGTCGGGGAAGGCGTGGGAACCACACGTATCAGCTCCGTTCTTATCTCGGGGAAGGATTCGCCGGTGTGAATGAAAAGCAAGCAGACGGGTAAGGTGGATGATAGAATGGGAGGCGGTGGGTTTTTGGGAAAATAGCAATCGGTGGAGACTGCATTAGAAATTGGCAGAATTGGTCCCTGTTTATTATGTGACAGAAGTGGTCCATTTCTTTTATTGAAGAAGTGAAACATAAACAAATATAGAGGGACCGAAAACGTAATTCAAGTGTCAACTTAACTGTTCATTTTCTCTACAATTTTAATATATATATAATAATGTGTAAACATTAATTATATTTTAAAATAAAATCTTGAAATAAGGAAAAATAAAATGATAAATAAGTAATTATTTCAATTCATATTAATAAAAAAAGAGAAATTGATTTACCCGGGTATTGTTTACATCTAAATAATTTTTTAATTTTTGTACACATCTAAATAACAAAATTATTTGAAGTGTTCATATATTACTATTATAACTCGTAGCCTTGTTTCATTACACAAAATGCATCGTAGAAACGGTCAATATATTTATAAAATTTCTTGAATTACGTTTAAAAATTTACTTAAATAGTCCTTACCTAATAAAAAAATTTGTAGAACACCCCAGGATATATTGCCATGTTTTGTTTATACATCTTTTTGGTTTCACATTTTTGTCACTTGAATTTTGTATATTTATAAGTTTTCTCCCTTCACATTTGAAGTTACGTAAGTTCGGTTCCTCCATGAAGCAAAGATTGGAACCTACTAGTTATAATTAAATATTTAAATGAGGTTGGCTAAAAAGATACCTTTTTTACGATTTAGACAACCCTAATTAATTTTGAAGTATTTTTATTGGTTGAAATTGCATTGTTTTCCGAAAAACTGATTATAAGTAGTTTATTATCGGTTGATTTTTTATAAAAATGATGAGAGGGTGTCTAAGGGGTGTCTTATTAGCAGCAACATGTTTGAATGGTCTGTTATTCCGCCCCCCTCCCCCCTGTAAACCTATATCACATGCTTTTTGTGTTTTCCATTTCCTCACTCCCCTATTTTTTTTTCTTTTTTTCTTTTACATACAAACTCTCTATTTTATACTTATGGTCCCTTTACTTTTAGAGTTTTTCAATTTATTTATAATTATTAACAATGTTTTTATTATTCTTTTATAACACATTTAAGTATTTTAATTTTTGATAATTATTATTTTTTTTAATTTTATTGTTTGACAATTTAATTACAAAGTTGATTAATTATTTATAATTGTTTTTATTTATAATAATATTTATTAAAAAATATATTTATATGATTATATATTTAAAAATGTTATATATATATATATATATATATATATATATATATATATATATATATATATATATGGTTATATCAACTGTCAAATCATAGGGGGAGGGGTTAAAAAAAGAGAAGAGGGGGGTTGTTTACCTGTTCTCTTGAATTATAGAAATCTATGAGAGTACAATGCAAAACAATGACCATTATAATCGAATAAAAATCAACTAAAAGAAATTAATGTGTTTGATTCCTATAAAAAATCTTGATGTTGGAAATATATATATATATATATATATATATATATATATATATATATATATATATATATATATATATATATATCTATATAGAGAGAGAGAGAGAGAGAGATAGGTTCAGGTATTCAAAATAACTATTATGTTATTGTATGTATAAATGTGGGTCAATCAAAATTTAAAATAAAAATAAATAATTAAATAAATAAATAAGGGTAAATAGGTAATTTGATAATTAGTTCCCACAAATAATATCCTATAATTATGGTAACCATTGACTTCAGCTACCTAGGCTTTCTCCATCCATCTTCGGCTTTTTAAAACCACCATCTATTGCCGATACAAATCTCGATCCAGAGAAATGGCTCCCTAAAAATTGGATTCTCAAGATCAGGAGAATGTTTTTCAGCTTCGGTTTCAGTCTCGACGTGAAATTGACGTCAATTTCCTTGAGAATGTTGTTTTGACGGCGGTATCTGGTGTTTCTGATCACGTTTCGTCGTCATTCTTCTCCATCAATAATGATTCGAGACCAGATCTAAAGGTATGAAAATCAAAATTCTAGTAAGTACATCGATTGTTTTTTCTCGAGTAATGAATTTGTGTTCGTTGCATGTTGTAGATCTTAATTAATTCGGAATTTGGAGCTCAATCAGAATGATTTTGGGGACTTAATTGGGAAGAACACCGGTCAAACGAAAAGTCAAAATTGTTGTGAATGTCCTTCCTGCGAACGAATGAAATCTGAATCGTGACTACAATCGGGAGTGTAATGTTAAGAACAAAAGAAATCAGAGTGGTTATGTACTTTTTCGCAATTGCTAGTCAACAGAAAAGTCAAAATAAATTGTGATTCGGGGTGAATAATGAACGAAAGATCTTACCTACGAACGTTTGCATTGGGTGTGTAATATGTTGATTCGGAGCGAAAGGTCTAGGATTCGAAATTGAAATCGGGCTCGCATTTTGTTCTTCTCCCCTGTTTGCTCGACAACGAATCTGTGACTGGATTCGGTTTACTGGAGATTCGCTTTGGGCTATTATCGATTGAGCGAAAGGTCAAGGAATCGTTGTTGAATTTATGCAATTAGAACTGCGAATGGGGTGGATTCGCAGTTGGAATTGGGTCGAAAGTCGTACTCCTCTCGCAATTGGAAATTAGACTAGATTTGATTTGCAAATGAACTCAGTGCTCGTAACGAATGATTCATGGGTGTTGTTTTGATTTGTTTTCTTCAAGATATGAAAATGAGTTGTATCAGACGTTAAATTGGAAGAAGATAATCAAGTTACATTTTTGGTCCCTGCAACTTAAGCGTTTTGACAATTCTGGTCCCTGTATTTTTGGTGACTTGACGGTTTTGGTCCATTTCCAGAATCTGTTACAAATGAAGGGGAGTATGATGCAGATTTATTATCGTGAAAGATGTTCCGATGGAAGAAAGGTACCAATGGATTCAATTAAAGCCATAATCGATGGATCCATCAGCCTTCAAATTGGAAGGAAGCTGTCTAATTCTTTCAAGGTGTAATATTTTTGGTGAATTTGGAATTTGTTCTGATTGTCTAATTTTTACAGGAAATTGAAAGTTGTTTTGATGCACACCAAGCGCTTGCTAACATTGGCATCAACCTACATGACCCGGTGAGTCTAACATTGGCATTAACCTGCATGACCCGGTGGATGGCTTCCCTACCCTGCTCTTCATTACGAGCAACCCTGCGGACCAGAATAGGAAGGATTCTGTCTGCTGAGCCTCCCTCGCTCAGGTTGTAGAAGCTTCAGTCTCCATTGTATGACATTGGTTGACCCTGTTCTTGACTCCATCCATCCAAGTATTCTGCCCACAGAGGCATTGGGACTTGAAAAGCCGGACGAGGGTTAGGATTGGGGATTGGAGCTTCCAGAGGTAGGTTGTTGACTTCTGGCTCGGAGTCAGAATCCTCCGTGAAGTTCTCTGCAAAGTCATCATCCAAAGGGATTGGATGATTCTCTTCTGGCTCTACATCGAGCCATCCTCCGTTGCCTTGGTTTGGATAGTACGGATCTCCGGGGATATGGAATCCAACCATGTTATCTACACGAGAAAAGGGGTAAAAGAGATAGTTAATAGACGTACTAATTAAGATAATTATAAGATGATCCTTACCAGTTACTCCAACATTTGCGTAGCACATACCAGTCATATGTGACCAAAACAGGATAGACCTTCGAATAGGTGACCCTAACTCTAAGCCCGCAACCAAACAAGGAACAGGAAGTAAAGCAAAGATCACAAATTCTAAGTCTATAACACCCTAGTCACATATAACCTTAGCGTATCCGCTCCGCAACTATTGACATACTAATAAAGACCTTTTTAGTTTGCACATAAGTAATTATAGTAACACAAAATACTCCTATAGTATTTTAAGTTTATGTTATGTTCTAATGTTTTCATTGTAGTAGTGTTGGTAAGTTTTTAGACTTGCTGCAACACCACAACCATTGTTGGGCACATGCTGATCACTTCTCGGAAAGATATAGTTGATCAGGCTATATCACTCCTAGATCTGATCATATGTTCCCAAGCCTACTTGTGTTGTCCAATAATCGTAATTCTTTTGTTCTGTCCTAGTGACACTGATTTTAGTATGAATGCAGGTATGTATACTTTGGTTAAATATTTTATTATTTAAAAGTATAAACTCTTGGTTAGTGTATTTTAATCCCGTTGTGTTTATAGTTGTATATATTTTATGCGTTGATATACTCAATTCACTATAAACAATGCTCTAATACCAATCTGTCACGCCTCAAAACCGGAACATCGGAAATGTTCGGGGGCGGAGGACGTCATGTACAGTATCACAACAATGCATAATAGTAAACAAGCAACAACATCATCCATTGCATTAATAGTAATAATTTTAATACAAGTGTGTTCTGAAGTTTATAAGACACCAAAAATGTAAATCAAAATAAGAGATGAGTCTTGAACATGCTCCATCTTCTCAAAACCTGGTCATCGGTACCTGTCTACAGGTGACCTGAGAATACAAGTTATTTTGAAAGTGTAGATCAACATTAAAGTTGGTGAGTTCATAAGCATTTTAGTGTCAATGTTTGTATAAGTTTGAAGAATGTACTTGTAAATGTTTGATGTAAAAGTTTGTAAGTATTTGATGTAAATGTTTGTAAACTTCCTAGAAAATCCTATATTTTCTACTAAAGTAGCCTT